GGTGGTGGCAGCTGAGCCAAAGCGGAAGTCTCGGAAGCGAGATGCACCACCTGTGCCAGCATCGGCAGCTGCAGAAGAAGCTGAAGCAAATGACGTCGACAGCTCTCTGGATGCTGCTTCTTTTGTGGCAGTCGCGGAGGATCTGAAGACTGAAAAGGTTCGGAAAGCCTTTGGCCTGCTCATGGCATCAAACATCCCGGCTCTTGAGGTGCCCTTGGCAGGACGCAAGAGCTATACGGTGAAGCCCAAGCCTGGGGCTCCACCTTTCGCCCGTCCAATTGGGGTTGTGTTGTATAGCAGCTCCTTCTATGTAGGCAAGGTGGCCTTACCTCAAGACAGCTGGCCTGAGGAGTGCCGGAAATTCTACAAAGTAGTGGCCTTGGTCGTTTCTAGTCTAACGACAGTCTTCAAATTTGTACCTTCCCCACTGGTCGACTTTGCCACGGTTTGGCTTAGTGTCGTTCAGCCGCTCAGGTCGATGTGAAGAATGGTGTGACCATCCCATGGTACAAGGCTTCCAGCCCTGTGGAAAGCGAGCTGAACAAGATCCGCACGGCCTGGAAGCATGCAATGGTTCTGGGTGGATGGATTGATCCATGACCATGATCGAGTCGAGGCAAGCTTCCAAAACTTGCATGTTTCCTATCCAATCCAATCGACCTCTTGTTGGTAATTAGCTAGCTCATGACGTTGTTTGTCTCCGTCCAGGCACTGTGATTGAAATCAACAGCCAATAGGGCTGTTCATTGGGGTTGGGGAAGTGCTTTGGAAGTGATGTGCACTGTGTATCTAGGTCTTGAAATTCACTATCTACACATGAAAAAAAAACAATCAAAAACCATGCATTGCATTTTAGCTCAATGGTTCGCTTCCGTAGCACTGTGATCTTAAAGATCTGTTTCGAAGAAACCAAAACGGTACCCGGTGCTGTGTGTCTCCACATGCGCAACCTAGCTTAGCAAGCTGGGCCCAGGTGAAAAAGAATTCCAGGGAAAGGGGTGTGCATGAGATCGGATTGACTTCGGTGCATTCAGGAAACTTTGCACTCCATTTTTTTTGATTCGTGCGTGGGTATCGTAGTCTCTCAACCTGGAGACCTGAGACCGTCATCAGGGACCCACAACTCACTGAGCCGTTGCCGATCCCAATCCTCCAGGTACACCATGTGCTCCTTCTGCTCCTGCGCGTGCGGGAGAAGGCTGGACAGGAATATCAATATGCGTGAATTCGAATTAAACTCGCAGAGATTGGTGTTGGGTCTTCATGAACGCTAATGTTCATATCTGTACCAAGTGAGGCCTCTCAATGTTTTGTTCGATCCGATCGCTGGTATTGGCAGGTGCCATCGATGTCAAGAAGCCAGTACTGAAGAAAGGTGCCACCCTCCGTTCTCGAGTGTTTCAGGGCTCGATATTAAAATCCTCTCAATCGGATGTGTTCAGGGCTTGACTGAGTCTGAGAGGTCTCAGGATCGGAGGTGTCAGATATGTTGTCTATGTGGAAGCAAACTTACAAACATGCTGGCAGATTGGCTCAGTTTTTTTTTGGGGGGCGCTCTCTGTGGCTAGCTATGCGGAACCTTCGCTCGTTGTCGATGAGCAAGCTGCAAGTGGCGGCACTGCTGGGTATGGGAGCACCACCGATATTGTTATTGGGTTGCATTAATAATGATATAGATCAAGATCACAAGTGTGTGCAAATGGTTTTCAGAGTTTAACTTCTAGAGCCTGCAAATTTCAGGATTCACCTTCTAGACTTTGTGGATCAAAACCTGGACAAGGAATGCGGTCTCCATTTCAGGGCCACTTGGTAGGCAAACCTTGCATTAATGGCAAAACGCTTCACATGCATAAAATCTTTAATTTTGCAACATCACTCAAACCTATTTGAGGATCTCCAGTGTGCAGAGTTCTTTGGTGGCTGTGAATCTATTGTTCGAGGTTTTAGCTGGACCCTTATTTTTTGTGAAGCACTTCACGCACTACATCTTTTTGTGTCACCCACCTGATTTCCACCTGTCCTGCCCTTCCCGGCCCTCAGGAGCGTTGGGCTCCTCCGCGTCGCTTGGTGTGCAACACTCCTGCAAGGCAGTCCGGGTCCATGAACATGTGGATGTGTCTGAGGCAGAGCTGTGACATCACAAAGGATATGGTCACCCAAGACCTTTCATCGACTATGGGCCTATTGCGATTCATGAGATTGGCTTTGAGGTGTCAGGAGGGTGCACTTGGAGTGTTGGGTACTCCATGCAACAGCTTTGGTTGGATGGCGACTTCCCAGCACTGCAGATCCTACCAAAACCCATGGGGAGATCAGAGCTATCCGTGGGTGGTACTTGGTAACATTCTTGCATCACGGAGCTGCCTGATCATCTTGGTCCTCATCGCTAGATCTGTGTTCTGGCTGGTTGAGAACCCTGACCACAGCCAACTACGACTGTTACCACCTCTAGTTCACATCATGTCGATTCCTGAAATCTTGCCGCTTCGAGTCTCTTGGTGGGGGGTCTAAGCTTTTTACACAGCTTGTCAGCTAGAGGTTCCACTATCGATGATCGATAGCATCGCCCATCGGTTTCCAAGGGCTATGGGCTACTTTG